AGACTTCAGATTGCATGCAAGCTTGCCTCTTTTGAGGTTCATTCATCTTTAATTACTGTCATGCCCTTTCTAGTTTTAACCTGTCCCCTTTCTCAAAAGACAGAGAAACATACATACCAGGATTGAAGAACAGTGTGCTGAGAATGGATATTGGTATGGACTGACTGAGAAATAAGCCTAGGATGACTTTTCAATGACATCAGTATATCAAAACGGGGTCTGATGGATTAGGATGGTAACAAGTGACAACATATTGAGGAAGCAAAGACACAATTGCTTTTCTGGGACTAATGCTGACAAATGTGGAGAAATGATTAAAAAGTGGACGTGTCAAGAATGTTAGGGAGAAAGATTCATAAAATCTTCCACCAATTGCTTTCCAAGGAAGAGAAGTGGGTATGACTAGAGGAAGGAGTGCACCCCTGAAGCTTAAGGAACACAGATGGACAACTGTTCCAAGTATGCTGGTCATCAAGAAAATGCAACCTTCGGATAAGGTTAAAAAACTCTCACCTCTTTCTTCCACCCAAAAGTTTGACCTTAGACTTTTAAAAGGAAAGAGAAATTAACAAGTATCTGTAGAACAGAACATAGTAAGGATATTTTCTCTAACATAAATTTGACTAAGCATCAAATGGATTCTAATAAGGAAGAAAAAGTAAGAGTCTCTACAAAGTTAATTTTGTAAACATGGGAAGGAATGAAAGAATCACTAACAATCACAGACAAACTTGAGACTTACACAACACTGTAAGAAAAGTAGTAATGTGGCCAGAGACCAAAGGAGCTGAGACTTGGGGGAGAGAAGAAAGTTAAAGATTCCAAAAGGGGATTAAAAATTTTTCATTGTGGAAATTTTCAAACATTTACAAAGATAGAAAAGTGTAATGAACTATCACAAAGAGAAATAAACGACTCAATAACAACATCTCCTATCATAAAGAGAAATAAATGATTTTCAGGCAAATACTTAGCTTCAGTAATGAACTCATGGTCAGTCTAATTTCATCTATTCCCATTCCCTTGGATTATTTTGATATAAATCCCAGATAAATCATTTGATTCACAAATATTTAAATATGTATTTCTAAAAGACATTAAAATATTGTTACAATTCATTATCAAACCTAAAATTTAATAATAATTCCTTAACAACATACATTTTCCAATTGTATCATTTTAAAAAGTGTGCATAAGAATCCAAAAGATAATTGGTTGGTATGTCTTCTAAATTTCTAATTTATAGATCCTTAGCCCTGCTCTATGTTCATCCTGCAATGTATTTATTGAAGAAACTAGGTTGTTCATGATATGCAGTTGCCCACATTTTGTAGTTTTCTGATTCACAATGGTGATGTCATTTAGCAGTTTCTTAACCCTCTCTTTCCTATAATCTAATAATTAGTAACAGCTAATTACTAATTACTATAACTAGTCTAGTAATTAGTTATAGCTAATTAGTTACAGCTTGATATGATCAGGTCTAATTTTTTTGGCAAGAATATTTTATGGGTGGAGATGGGTACATATGTATATAATGTCTGGAGGTCTCCTTTTCAAAGACATTGATGAGCAGTATCTACATCCATTATTTTGTAGTATTGTATAGTTACTTTTTCATTTATTAATACTGGTATACTATCAGTTTTTTCTTTATTAACTGAACTGTGGCTAAAAGAAAAACCAAAGAGCTTTAAATTAAGAGGAAGCATGTTAATAGCTCTTTTGTGTGTGTGTGTGTGTGTGTGTGTGTGTTTAATATCATTAAAATATTGATCCAATTCTGCATGTTTTCTATATCCATTTGCCTGTTTCTCCTTCCATTTCTAAGCAGATTGATATGATCTGATTTGCGCCTCCCCCCCTTTTTTTCTTTCACTTTAGGATCATCCAGGCTTTGGGGAAGATAAAACACTGAAGGGCAGGAGTAGAAGCTGGGAGTCAGATTAGGGGGCTTTAGCAATGGTGGCTTGGGCCAGGGTGATAGGAATGGAGGAGGTGAGAAGTAAATGATTTGGGGATGTAATTTGATGATAGAGTTGACATAATTTGTTGAGAAACTGAATATAGGGATGTGAAAGAAATAAAGGACTCAACAATGACTTTGAATTCAGAACATAAGCAACAGGAAGGACTGGTTGTATTTGATTGCCATGAGGAAGATGTAGTTAGAACAGGTTCACAAGGGAAGATTGGGAGCTCTGAAGAAATAAAGAATGAATAGTCCAGTGGGCTCAACAGCTAATTGAATGACTTCATCCATGCTACTGAATGGATTGATGTCAGCAGGAGGGAGATCTTGAGAGTGTTTTGAGGGCTCTGTGCATTGACCTGTCTTGTTATTAATGATTGGGGTCATTTGACCAGTGACACAATGCTAGGAATAAGCTGAAATGTTGTATGAAAAGAGTCCAAAGGGGATCTTGACAAATCTAAGATAGATTGAACCATGCAAGATGAAGTTAACCTAAGTATTATAGATGTAAATTGTCTAGCAAACATATCTATTTGAGGAATAGCATTGTTATGAACAAACAATATTTGTTCAAATACACAGGTTTTTTTTTTTTTTTGTACCAGGGAATGATACAAAATCCCAATCTGCTCTTCATAGCCATGTTCCTTTAATTAAATCCAATGATATCCCTTATTACAAAATGGTACAGTATTGCCTTGCTTAAAGGATTATTGTGAAAAATAAGTGAAATAATAAGGCACTTAACATATCATATAGGGAAATTTCTTTTTATCCTTTATTTATTTATTTAGAATTAAGTATTAGCCAAAATTAGAGTTCTGAATGAGCTTTTAAGAGCCTCTTGAATAATATTAAGACTAGAAATTCTCTAGGACCTGAAAAATCTGTTCCCCGGGGACAGATTTTCATCAGTAGCCCCCAATGCCACCTGAAAATGTCAGCTCCCTTTTTCTCATCTTCCCCATTTTGCTTTCACCTCATTCAGCCTTTTTACCAACCAATTTTATGGTTTCTATAATATTTAAGTCACTCTATTCCTCCATGTAATAAGATGATTAATAAAGTGCTCTTTAACATATGTAAGAACAACACTTAATTAAGCTATTACAGTATTGTTTATGTGAGTTTATAGGATTTGAAAACTATCTTTCCCTTTCATTTTAGAGAAGAAGTCATAATGATTTTTGGAAGCTGTGTTTAATTAAGAGATGTTTAGCTACAGCATATGTTCTATAAAACAAATTCTATAAAAAAAATCTTAATGATATCATCAGAATCATTTCTATGGTAATTATCGGGAAATGGCTCTAATTATAAATATCATCTATAGCTATATCCAATCATTTCTTACATAATGCAATATGAGATAAATAATATTTACTTGACTAACAGTTAATATAGTCATAAGTGTGGAATGAATCAATTCAAATAATAAAGGTGTGAAGTACATTGAAAGAATAAAATATATGTAAAACTAATAGATACAGATTAGTGGTTGTTTATAACTTATAAATATTAAGTACTAAGATGCATTCTTACACTAATATATGATATACATAAAATATTATATATATATATATATATATATATATATATATATATCTCCAAGGTGCTTAACCACTGAGCCACATCTCCAACCCTTTTTAAAACTTTTTTATTTTGAGACAGGGTCTTGCTAAGCTGTTTAGGGCCTTGCTAAATTGCTGAGGCTGGTTTTGTACTCGAAATTCTCTGGCCTCAGTGAACCTCCAGAGCCACTGGAATTACAGGTACGAGCCACCATTGGCTGGTAGATATGTTTCTGTGGGTATATAAAGAAAACTATTAAAAACTGATACAAGCCCGGTGTAGTGGCACACACCTGTAATCCCAGCAGCTTGGGAGGTTGAAACAGGAGGATCGTGAGTTTAAAGCCAGCCTAGCAATTTAGTGAGACCCTAAGCAACTGACAGCCTGTCTCAAAATAAAATATAAAAATGGCTGGGGAATCTGTCTTAGTGGTTAAGCCCCACTGGGTTCATTCCCTGGTACAAAAAAAAAAAAAATCTGATACAAGTTAAATGACCAACACAAGAATGGTAAATAGTTTCTCTGGCATTCATATATTCCTTGTTTTTAAAGCTATTTACATACATCACAGAGAAAATGCATTTCATACATATGAAACATAATGATTCCTACAACTACCACATTTTTGTACTGAGTGATTCAGTTTTCCTCTTGACCTAGTTCTTTATTAAGAAAATTTGTTTAAATCAGAAAACTGAGACCAAATCCTTTGCCAATTCTGATGTCAACTAAAATCAACTTATGTAGATTATTTTTKTGTGTGTGTCAGATGGTCTGTCTTGCTTTGTCCCTATCACATAGATAGCTGCATAATTTATTTTAAGGGTTTAAAAAAGAAAACCCAAAAGTTCTTCTTTTCTGGATCTTCTCTTTCACTTAAGTAAAATTTTCTCTTGGAGTTGAATGATGCAGGATAAGTAAGGATTCTGGAGCCCTACTGGCTGAGTTGGTATCCCAGCACTGTTGCTGACTAACTGTGTGATATATGGATTATCCCATGGCTCATTTTCCTCCTGAGGATGATGATAGCAACACATATCTCACAGAGTTGTGAGAATAAAGTAGATATTACTGCCTAGAATACAGAAGGCATATAATACATATAATAGTCATTATTATTGCACAACTTTTATTTTACTTATAGTTATTAAAAAATTCATGTGGAAAGGTATTCTTTAAGTGTTTAGCTTATGAAATTTCATAAACTGAACAATCCTCTATAACCAGCGTGTAAATAATGAAACAAACTCAGGCCCCTTTTGAGTTACTACCCTCTCTAAAGGTAACCAGTCTCCTGATTTTTCTAATCAGTTTCATTAATGGCTATTTGTAGTTGATATTACAGCTGTTTATAAGGGATTTATTGTGATAATATTTTGTTTTTTATTTAATAACTAAGATAAATCTATTTGTTGATTAATCTTTTAATATATAGATATATTTTGTTTTCTAGGTTGAAAAAGCTCCTTGAACAAGAAAAGGCTTACCAAGCCCGCAAAGAAAAGGAAAATGCTAAGCGTCTCAATAAACTAAGAGATGAGCTTGTCAAACTCAAGTCCTTTGCACTCATGCTGGTGGATGAAAGACAAATGCACATTGAACAACTTGGCCTGCAAAGCCAGAAGGTACAGGATCTTACTCAGAAACTGAGGGAAGAAGAAGAAAAGCTCAAAGCCATTACTTCCAAATCCAAAGAAGACAGACAGAAACTGCTCAAGTTAGAAGTGGACTTTGAACACAAGGCTTCTAGGTTTTCTCAAGAGCATGAAGAGATGAATGCTAAATTGGCTAACCAAGAGTCTCACAACAGGCAACTTAGACTGAAGCTGGTTGGCTTATCTCAAAGAATTGAGGAGCTAGAAGAGACCAATAAAAATCTTCAAAAGGCAGAGGAAGAACTTCAGGAATTGAGAGATAAAATTGCCAAAGGGGAATGTGGAAACTCCAGCCTCATGGCAGAAGTGGAAAATCTCCGAAAGCGTGTGCTGGAAATGGAGGGTAAAGATGAAGAGATCACGAAAACTGAATCCCAATGCAGGGAACTGAGGAAGAAACTGCAAGAGGAAGAACACCATAGTAAGGAGCTCAAACTTGAAGTTGAGAAGTTACAGAAGAGAATGTCTGAACTAGAGAAACTGGAAGAAGCATTTAGCAAAAGTAAATCTGAATGCTCCCAGCTACACTTAAATCTGGAGAAAGAAAAGAATTTAACTAAAGACCTGCTAAATGAATTGGAGGTAGTTAAAAGTCGAGTTAAAGAACTTGAGTGTTCTGAAAGTAGACTGGAAAAGGCAGAATTGAGCCTCAAAGATGATCTCACAAAGCTGAAGTCATTTACAGTGATGCTGGTTGATGAAAGGAAAAATATGATGGAAAAAATAAAGCAAGAAGAGAGAAAAGTGGATGGACTCAATAAAAATTTTAAGGTGGAACAAGGCAAAGTTATGGATGTAACTGAAAAATTAATCGAAGAAAGTAAGAAACTTTTAAAACTGAAATCTGAAATGGAGGAAAAGGTGTACACTTTGACAAAGGAGAGAGATGAGTTGATAGGTAAACTGAAAAGTGAAGAAGAAAAATCCTCTGAATTAAGCTGCAGCGTTGATTTGTTAAAGAAGAGACTTGATGGTATGGAAGAAGTGGAAAGAGAAATAACAAGAGGAAGGTCTCGAAAAGGACCTGAGCTCACCTGCCCAGAAGATAATAAGATTAAGGAACTAACCCTTGAAATTGAGAGGCTGAAGAAGCGTCTCCAACAGTTGGAAGTAGTGGAAGGGGATTTGATGAAGACAGAGGATGAATATGATCAGTTGGAGCAGAAATTCAGAACTGAGCAGGATAAAGCTAACTTCCTCTCTCAGCAGTTAGAGGAGATCAAGCACCAAATTGCCAAGAACAAAGCAATAGAGAAAGGGGAGGCTGTGAGCCAGGAAGCTGAGCTGAGACACCGATTTCGATTGGAAGAGGCTAAGAGTAGAGATTTAAAAGCCGAGGTACAAGCTCTCAAAGAGAAAATTCACGAGTTAATGAACAAAGAAGATCAGCTTTCTCAGCTCCAAGTAGATTATTCAGTCCTTCAACAAAGATTTATGGAAGAAGAAAATAAGAACAAAAACATGGGGCAGGAGGTCCTCAATCTGACCAAAGAGTTGGAGCTTTCTAAGCGGTACAGCCGTGCTCTCAGACCCAGCGTGAATGGGAGAAGAATGGTGGATGTGCCTGTGACATCCACCGGGGTGCAGACAGAGGCCGTGGGCAGCGAGGCAGCTGAGGAAGAAACGCCGGCAGTATTCATAAGAAAATCCTTCCAAGAAGAAAATCACATCATGAGCAATCTTCGACAGGTAGGACTGAAAAAGCCCATGGAACGATCCTCTGTCCTAGACAGGTATCCTCCAGCAGCAAATGAGCTCACTATGAGAAAGTCATGGATTCCGTGGATGAGAAAAAGGGAAAACGGCCCATCAATCACGCAGGAGAAAGGGCCTCGAACAAATTCCAGTTCCGGGCACCCAGGAGAACTAGTTCTTTCACCAAAGCAGGGCCAGCCCTTGCATATCCGAGTGACACCAGACCACGAGAACAGTACTGCCACTTTGGAGATAACCAGCCCCACATCTGAAGAATTTTTTTCTAGTACCACCGTCATTCCTACATTAGGGAATCAGAAACCAAGGATAACCATTATTCCATCACCAAATGTTATGTCTCAAAAAACAAAAAGTGCAGAACCTACTCTTGGCCCAGAACGAGCCATGTCCCCAGTCACAATTACTACGTTTTCCAGAGAGAAAACCCCAGAAAGTGGAAGAGGCACGTTTGCAGACAGGCCCACGTCCCCCATTCAGATAATGACAGTGTCTACTTCTGCAGCGCCAGCCGAAATTGCAGTTTCTCCAGAATCCCAGGAAATGCCCATGGGAAGGACAATCCTCAAAGTCACCCCGGAAAAACAGACTGTTCCACCTCCAGTACGAAAATACAATTCCAATGCCAATATCATAACCACGGAAGACAATAAGATTCACATTCACTTAGGTTCCCAGTTTAAACGATCCCCTGGGACTTCAGCTGAAGGAGCTAGTCCAGTTATTACTGTTCGGCCAGTCAACGTGACAGCTGAAAAGGAGATTTCCACTGGCACTGTCCTTCGCTCTCCCAGGAACCATCTCTCTTCACGACCTGGTGCGAGCAAAGTGACCAGCACCATCACCATAACACCAGTCACAACTTCATCCACTCGAGGAACCCAGTCAGTGGTGAGTATAAGAGGTTCCAAAGCCCTGGCCAGAGGAGGATGGAGAAGTAAGGAGTGAGACTAAGCACCCACAATAAATCAAAGCCATGTACCTCCCCCTCCATTGGAACCCACTCACTGATGTTTCCTGTAGCACCATCTACACTGATAGATGAAAATTAAGCAATCTAATATTTTGATAAATTGGGCCAATTTTGAGGGAAATTTTCATTTATTAATTATAAATTATAATTAATTTATTATTATTTCATTTATTCATTGTGGAGACACTTCAAATACTTGCAAAGATGGGCTCTTTGAAATGGCAGCACAGGGTAATCCTGAGGTTTAAAATTTGATTTTTATGTTTAAAATACTTTTTAAAACGATGACAGGAGGAAACAGTCAATATTCAAGAAGACCTAAAACAGTTCCTAGGTTATATTTCTTTTTTTTTTTTAAAGAGAGAGTGAGAGAGGAGAGAGAGAGAGAGAGAGAGAGAGAGAGAGAGAGAGAGAGAGAGAGAATAAAATATACTATATGTGATTGTGTATGGTCATAGCCATGCTTTATTCCCAAAATAAGATTAAAAGATTTTGATATAAAAAACTTTTTTTAAAGGAAAAAAAAGTGATTTTTATATGATTAAGAATTACCTTTTTTTCTTTATAGTAGAAAACAGATACATATTTTGAAAAATAATTAAAATTTGGTGTTTAATTATTTAAAAAAAGAACTACCTTTTATTTAATTGTATCTTGCAGAGAGCAGGCACTTTATACATATTTATTCGATAACTAGCAGGAATGATTATTTWAAAAAAATGTTCAAAGTGCAAACACTAGGGCTTAAAAAGAAGTTATATTTTTCAAAATACTTCCAGTGATTGTCTTTATTTATTGGGGACAAGATTCTTATAGAAGAGATGAATTATTTAGATATTAATTTAAGCTAATAGACTAGAAATTATGATCTCTAGGCTCTGAATTTTGAACAAATTCTATAGCATATATTGAAATCTCTTAAAGACCGGAAAGTCATGATTTAAATATAGAAACTGTGGCTTATTTCCCTAAATGCTCAATATAATTTACATTAATTCTCTTTGCCAAAATTCAGACTCAAGACAGACTTCAAAGTGTGAATTACTAATTGCTTTGCCAGTAAAGCTTTTCATTACTGGCTCTACAGAAGCCAAATAACATTCAAAATTATTTGCCCTTCTTAAATGATTTAGGACTGCTTTTTAGGCAACACAGAGTATAGTTTGGTTATGTAGGGTCTTTCTTCTTTCTGTTGCATTTTATAAAAACGTTGTGGGGATGTAAATTATTGTAATTTGGAGTAGATTTTCTGTTGTAACATCTTATTCCTATTTTGAGTATCCTATCAGGATAGCCTTACCTTCTGTAGCAACATTTTGGACCACCTATTAAACCCAATACATAAATAGGATTTCAAAATAATTGCCTAAGATTTCTAAAGGTCTGAATTGTAGGTATACTAGATCCCATTAGAGCAAGGACAACAAAAGGTTTAGGACACCCCTTTGAGAATGTCATCAGGCTAGTTCATGTGTGCACTTGTTCATTCCACATTTGTTAAGTGTCAGCTATGCTTTGGCCATGGTATTAGGTGTTGGCATGTGAAGAGGACTTTAGAAGTACTTGACTGAGTGGGAGAGGCAGGACTGGAACTTACCTAGTGGTTCTGAAACAGTATACCCAAAGAACCCACCAGAGAAGTCTTCACAGATAAGGTGGGATTTTCAAGAAGGAAAAGAATAGGAATATGAAGGCAGAACAGTATGTGCAAAGGCATTATGATGTGAAGCAGCCTGGCATTTTTTGGGAAATATTGAGCATCCCACTGTGCTGGGAGCATAGAGAAAATCCAAGAGCAGAAAATGGAAAAGTACACTTGGGTCAGATATTGAAGGCACAGAAATTGATATTTAATTTCATGGAGTGGCAAAGGGGAGCCATTGAAAGGGTTATGATCATGAAAAACATTACATTATTTTTGTTTGAGAAAGACTTGTCTAGAAAACTATTTAAAGGATAAATTGGAGGGGATGGCTGCTAAAGACAATGCTACTGCAATTCTCTGGGCAAGAGATGACTTGAACTTCGGTAATGAAAATGAGGACAGAGATATACTGAAGATAGAATTGAAAAGATTTCATGACAAATTGAGTGTAGAGGGTGGCTCTGAGGTTTCTGGTTTGGTTGTCTGGATGTCTTGGATGAGCAGCATAGGGAGACTAACTCTTTGAAGAAGAGGATAAGCAATGTTTGAGACATGTTATTTTTAGATGCCTGGGGGATGCTGTAAATTTCCAGTAAGTAGCTGGAAATACAGATCTGCATTTCAAGAGAGAATTGAAGGCTTGATGTTCTAGTGCTTGGACATACTGCGTCAAACTAAGGGGATTCTGAGAGTGAGTGTAAAACTTAGAAATGGCTGAGAATAGGACATGATGACACTCATATTTAGAAGGCAGACAAGGTAGAACAAGGAGCCAGCAAGAGATTGAAAAGAAATCATCAGAGACAGGAGATGAACTGGTGAGACTCATACGAAATCCAAACAAGAGAGTGTTAGGTTTTTAAGGTCAGCAATGACAATAAAAAATGACAGGCACCTGAAGTCATAAGGAGTGAGAGGAGAGCTGCTTCATCTGCAATGTAGGGAAGAAGGGAGAGTGGAGATAATTTGTGTAACAGTAAGAGTAAAATTGCCTGAGTTTATACCTGGTGGCCCATATTTTTGCCATGAAATGGACATTAAGGCCATCTTCAGTAAGGATAGAGGAGGTAGGGTAGTGCTTAAAAAGAGAAGAATATTCAACATAGATGTTTCTAGAGAGAAAAAAAGGACATAACCAGAGCAAATTAGATACCAATTCCAAGTTTCTTAAACTCCTTTTTTTTTTTTTCCTGGGGAAGGGTTGTCATCTGTGGGTGTCTCTGTGTGTAGAGTCCTGTGACGTTCAAATTGATGGCATGTTCAGGGGAAACTCATCTCCCTTCTGTTTTCTCTTACAGTCAGGACAAGATGGGTCATCCCAGCGGCCTACACCTACCCGCATTCCTATGTCAAAAGGTATGAAAGCAGGAAAGCCAGTAGTGGCAGCCCCAGGAGCAGGAAATCTGACCAAATTCGAGCCTCGAGCTGAGACTCAGTCTATGAAAATAGAGCTGAAGAAATCTGCAGCCAGCAGCACTACCTCTCTTGGAGGGGGGAAGGGCTGAGGGCAGTGGCTAAGGGGGTATGTTGTGCAGATGCTACTGCTGCTGTGAAAATGAGTCTTCATCTGTTTGTGCCAATTCTTTACATGTACTAATTTAAGTTTTAAACACCTTGTTTATAAAATAACCAACTAATAGCCATGTTTCTTTCCTATTTTGTGCATTTGTTTTGATGCTTGGGGAACAGAAGTAATTACCCAAACTGCTGTTTGCTGTGTGGTTCGTTGAGGATGTTGGGCTTGTGGCGGAGCCTGACTTCTTGTTTCAATTTTGCTTCTAGCAAGTGGACCTATCAATTAGCCCATCAATTAAGAAACCCTCAGTTTGTTCATCAGTAAAATTTGGGGACTGTACCACCTATTCTTAAAGGTTGACTCACATAATTTCTAATCATAAGCCAAATTTAATAGGTATTGTTCTATGGTAATTTTTTATTTTTCAAAAACTCTAAAATAGGACATAGTTTAGTAATTGTCACTTGCCTTTATCAAATACTGAATTTGTGTGCTGGAAAAAGAATTGCATAGCTATCACAGGGCTTGAACCTCTAAAATATTGCAGAAACAAAGCTTCTAAAATGATTTCAGGAAAGAACTTGAATGTGAAATAAAATGGAAACGAACTATGGAATCCTAAAAACAGAGTTTGACTTATTCTTGTGTGTTTGTGTACATTGTAGAAGTTTCGGCCACCTACAAACGATTCTCAGAATGTCATTTTAGAAATATTAATGTCAGACTTGTGCTCCATTCAAGTGTGTGACTGATTTAAGTTGTGGAGCACTTTGAATAGAGCTGCTAAATGACCATTTATAGCTCAACAGAAATTGTGATGGATAGAAAATAGAAGAAAGTAAATTCGGATACATTAATGCCAAGAAAAAAATGACATCATGCTTAGCTTAATTGAGTCCAAATATTTTACTCTGTTAAATGTGGACTTTACTTGCAAATGTAGAAACAGTTCAACATTTGTGTGTGTGTGTGTGTGTGTGTGTGTGTGTGTGTGTGTGTGGTGGGGGTGGAGAAATACATTATTATTCTTGTTAGTTTTTCTCATGTTTGAATAATTTTCTTTAATTTTAAGCATGTTTTAATAAGCATGAATCAGACTGTGAATGCAAATTCCAACTGTATTTGTGAGACTAACCATGTTAAAGTGGACAGTGTGCTTTGTAGTCACATAACAACAAATGAGCTCAAGGTTAGTAACCATAGCTTAGCACACTAAGGTCTTATGTAGACAGTACCTTTGCCAAAAGTTTGGAATCAAGTGTAGACTGTACCTTTGCCAAAAGTTTGGAATTAAGTAGGTCAACTTTACAGAAATACAATAACTACAAAGTTACAAATTTTTGTTTTTCCATTTTGGAATTGTTAGAATTTCAAAATTGTATGAATAGCACCTGATCTTGATATTTGGGAAAAAGTAATTAAAAAAAAAGATGTATGATTAGTTTTTAGTCCATGAACAAACACGTTTCTCTTTGTGTTCTCCTCACCACATTTCCTATACTTTGCAGAACTTGCACTTGAATTGTTTGTAGTGGTAGTAGATATAGATGCCTCATAGTATTCACAGGCTCTTTAATCATATTCATTTCCTACTATTCATCATTTCTCAGAATATGTATTAAAAACATTGAGTGAGCTGAAGTTGTGGCTCAGTGGTAGAGAGCTTGCCTATCACATGTGAGGCACTGGGTTCCATCCTTAACAACACATAAAAATAAAGGTATTAAAAAACAAACAAACATTGAGCAATCATGTTAAAGACATGCCATATAATGGGATTGAAAATTTAAAAGGGGGTGGAAAAAGAGACTGAGAAAATAAACACTTTAAGAATTATGATTCTGGGCTGGGAATGTGGCTCAAGCGGTAGCGTGCTCGCCTAGCATGCGTGCGGCCCAGGTTCGATCCTCAGCACCACATACAAACAAAGATGTTGTGTCTGCCAAAAACTAAAAAATAAATATTAAAAATTCTCTTTAAAAAAAAAGAATTATGATTCTGGGGCTGGGGTTGTGGCTCAGTGGTAGAGCGCTTGCCTAGCATGTGTGAGGCACTGGGTTTGATTCTCAGCACCACATATAAATAAATAAAATAAAGGTCCATCAACAACTAAAAAAATATTTTAAAAAAGAATTATTGTTTTGGTTTGGGATGTAGCTTAGTGGTAGAATGCATGAAGTATGCATGAGGCCCTGATTCAATAGCTGGCACTAAAAAAAAAAAAAGAAATATGATTTTAGACAAGACAAATTTAAATAAGAGAACTTGCCATTTAGAATACCGACTTACATTTTTTAAGGGAATTTTTCCACTTTCATATAGTATATAAGCAAACCTTTCAAAAACAAGGAAATTTTCTGCTTTTATTAATGCCTACCTGGGTATTTGTGAAGTATTTAGTATTACTGTAACATGACATACTATGTTTGAGCAAATGGGGGTAATCAAAAGAACCAAACTGCATTCCTTTAGATTCTACCTGTCATTCTTCAGTGATTTATCAAAATCTTAATGTSTCTTGCTGATGTCTTTGCTTTTACTTGCTCATACCATGCTATGTCATTTCTTCTCAAAGTTCATACCATCAGCTGGGAAAATGCTTCAAAGGTCTTAACAGTGTTTATACATCTAGTGTTTATATATCTAGATCTTGGCATAGAGCCACCTACAAATTACAACTGTTAAGAAAACTTGGCAGAAAAATACATAGTCACTTTCAGAAATGATAAAGAGCAATGGTCATGGCAGTTTTTCCTTTGTAATTTTAGAACCAACTATACATTGGATAGCTTTGTTTTAAACCATATATTAGAAGTGAAATCTACTGGGAATAGGAGGTAGACGATTAAATGCACTCCAAATCCAGCTTCCATTTGTGAATATGTTTTTAAAATGAAGTTTAATGGACTTCTTCAAAAGGGAATGTGATTACAAGTTTAATTTTTTTTCTCTGTTCTAAAACATATTGTATAGTAAAATTAAAGGGGTCTCATCATGACTGATGTGTATAGCTCCAGCTCCAATCCCACCTTGAAAAAAACTCCAGGGGTTGAGAGGCTGAGTGTGTGTGAGGTGTCATTTCCATAGATTTCAATCTGATTGTGCCTTCTAGAGACATTCAGGGCACAATCAACATAGCTATGGAGGAGACCCTGGTCTTCCTTGTCTCAGATAATTTAAATGTATTAACTATTTCAGCACATGATGGTGGATACCTCACATACATAGTCCCCAAAAATGTTCTCATATGACCCACAACCATAAAAATGTTTATTGTGTTTTGACAATATGTGAGCTTCATATTCAGGTTATTTGCTTCAATAGGGTTATTCAATTTCTCTTGGCATTCTCATTAATTTACAGGGAGGGCTGGTTGATGGGCAACAACTGGGGTCTTCCTAGGGATTTTAGTGTATGCATCAAGATCTATTATTTGAATGTGTTCAAGGTAAATGAATAGATAGTTTTGATTTATAATGTGAGGAAAGTATAAGTTTAGTGAAATGAAAACATGTCCAAGAATATAAAATGATTTGAATTTCTGATTCCTCATAGATTCAGAAAACTGGGGAAGGAATGAGACTTTCTGGATTGGAATATAGATAAGAGCACATGTGGGCTGGGATTTATCTCAGTAGTAGAGCACTTGCATAACATGCACAAGGCCATAGGCTCCATCCCCAGAACTAGGGAAAAGAAGGAGAAGGAGAGAAAACAAGAAAAGGAAGAAGGAGGAGGAGAAGGAAGAGAAGGGGGAGGAGGAGAAGAGAGAGGAGAAGGGGGAGGAGGAGGAAGTGGTGGTAGTGGTAGAGGAGGAGGAAGAGAAAGAGAAAGAAAAAGAAATGTGTCAGAGGCTACAGGATGGTTGGGGGTGTGCAGAGAGACTGAGGAGCATGAGGTAAGGAGGAGAGGGGTATAGAGAGAATTTCCCAGTGAATAGGAATGAATGAGTCCAAAAATTTCCCAGCAAAGATAAAGTTTAGTGTTTCTCTTTGACCTCCAGGGTCTCATCACTGGTTATCTCTTTGCTCTCTGATGTTGCAGCTTCTCCTTTTCACACAGGATATTTCCACACAGGATATAAATATGCTCTGGCACCTTCCATTTTAGCCAAATTCTGCCTTCAACTGGTACAATCCTATCACTGTTTCCTTCCATAGCCAGCTAAACTATTGACACTTAGCATTTTCTACCTCCTTTCATACTTCCCATTTATTCTCCAATAACCTTATTTTTCTTTTCTTTTTAAATTTTATGTTTATTTTGTTTATGTGGTGCTGGGGATTGAACCCAGTGCCTCACGCATGCTAGGTAAGCGCTCCACCACTGAGCCACAACCCTGCCCCCGCTAATAATTCATGTTTTTAAATTTACTCTAATTTGCCATATATGACAGCAGAATGCATTACAATTCATATTACACATAAAGAGCACAATTTTTCATATCTCCATTTGTACACAAAGTAGAGTTACACCATTTTGTCTTCATATATGTACTTAGGATAATGATGTCTATCTCATTCCACCGTCCCTTTCCTACCCCCATACCCCCCCCTCCCATAACCTTAATTTTCTCAAAGGGATTTATATATGTAGTTAAAATATCAGCCAGTGGAAAAAGACAATGAAAACAGACATTCCTTACCTTGTCTCTTGACATTTTAAGTTTTTTCCCTGGAGGAAACCATTGCCAACTCTTAGCTGTTTCTCCTGGCATTTATGTTCATATTCCTAAATAATGTGCTTGTGTTCTTTTTATTTCTAGGTTTTAAATATCTCGTCTTCTCATTACCATGTTGAAAGTATAAGATTTAGACCTCTCATTTGTCCCCTTTTTTAA